ATTACGCGTTTTGAATACAAGAAAACTGAGATGGAACCGAGGAAACCGCAAATGCAACAAACGTTTTTTCTGACTGCAGGACTTCTAACTACCTCACAAATTCATGTCATCTTTTGTAGGCCAGTAACTGAAAAGCGCTACCCAAAATACCTTCCAAACTGCATTTTATGCATGGGTTATCACTTTTTATGGCATGTTCACTGAATCCTATTCGCTTTATTCCACGTCACTCCCTTGCCTCCAACCGAATAAGGAAATCGATTACTGTGCGTGGGTTCTCTGCGGTTTTCATAACTGATTTTACCCCTATGATGTCACCTGTTACCATATTGGCTCCATCTTGTATGTGCATCAGAAATGGAACAGCCGAGTTTACGGACATTTCAAAGGCTGACTAGCGTAGGGGTTTCCTACCACTGTGTGATGAAGGGAGGGCAGCTAAAAACTGTCAAGTAGATTAAAAGACGTTGTCTTAATAACTGGGTAGCCATTAAGTAAACAAAACACCGGCACCGTGTGGTAAACTTGCATGTGTATAATTAGCTCACGATGTCCTGTTAACGGGTCATGAAAGGCTCAAGCACAGCTAATGATGTGCTTTTAGTTTCGAGTGCCTGTTCTGATAAGTAATGGACCATTCCGAACGAACAACGAATATTTAGGATGAACCATAAGATTACTCACAAGTAGTGAAAAGCCAATAACTGCAGATTCCAGTTAGGATTTAGGAGCAACTTGAGACTGTTGTGCAACGGTATGGAGTTTCCACTCTCAAATATCGCTTCCAAAGTTATGATTGCGCGCCTTGCTGAGCGTTATAAGGGCTATATTTTCCATACTCATGTTGTTGTCTGAATATTTGTGACCAGTCATATTGCTCTCAATAGCAGCTCCGACCAGATATCGCATACGTTACTGAAAGGTTGTAGTATTAGCTATTCTCTCTTTACATTGCTGGAACTACTCTGGAATGTCACACAGTTCGCCCTTCGCAGCTCCTCTTTTAGTCACATCTAAATCAGACATTTTGCAGTACGCCAGCTAATACAGTGAAATCAAAAACTTAAGATGTCAACTGTACCCAGGAAGCATGCAATGTCGGTGGATTTTGTATCTTCAAATCGTACCCAGCATTCATAAAGACAAACTATACAAATAACATTGTTATAGCCGTCTTATGCATAATATCCATTGCTTATCCTCGAAAAATTAACAACAGGGGATCTGAGTGGCTTGAGTACATGAGCAACAGTAGCGGAAATTCTGTTGTCTCACAAGGTTCATTTTCCTACAATCAATATTGTATTCTCTGGTTTAAAAACTTGTTCAACCGACCACACAGCTACATGAGGTTCATCAGCTTCATAGAAAGATACTCATTGTGGACTGTCAACACAAGCAGACCACTATCCTTCTGTTCTTATCCAAAATAATACACACAACGATTCCGCAGAATCAACAGTAGTTTAACGAGTGTGATCCACGGAGGCTTCAAAATAGAGTCCCGTATATTTTAGACCGCAGTTCCACAGAACAGCACAGACCAACAGCAATCTGCATATAGTCGCATCAAGAAATCGTACACTTCAGATCTGAAACACCTGTACCAAAGTATGGTATTGTTCACAGTCCGAAGCAAGCATGATGCTGAAACACCTTGAAAATCCCAATGTGCGGAGATTGCAGACCAGTCTGTGAATGATTGTTGAGGAACACAAACATCGTGTAAACCAAATTAGCTTGCAAATGAGTGTATATTTGCTAAATTCATGCAATTTGGTTTCAAGTAGAACATAAGGTTGACGGAAACCCGGGGACCGCGCCTACCTGATGAGCCCCAAAAAGGGTGAAACCGGTCGTGGGCTGTTGACGGATTTTCAGCAACCTTATGAGTAGTACATTACAAAGATATACATGTATCGCGATATCTCGAATATCGTAGCGACTGAAACATGAGGTGGCCTGGTGCAGCACATTCAGTTGCCTGAGAACATCACAAACGAGAGATTCAGCTGGGTTTAAGGTGAGTTTCTTGTTCTAGTCCAGCATAAGATGAACCCTCGTTAGTTGCATTAGCAATTTTGTAAGGCGATTGGAGCTTCCACAAATACGTTCACTTGCACACCAATTTGGTTTCGGCAGCGGACTCCCCGCAACGTAACTGAATTTCTCTTGCGTGATATCACGATGTGTCACATGTTGTACTAACTGAAAATTGAGGCTGTCTCTGTGCGGATAATCCAGCCAAAGAACATCATAAATGAGAGCATCAGCTGGGTTTCAGCTGAGTCTCTGATGAAAGCCGAATTCGTGGGTAAACGAGTGTACTTATCGAATTTGGCGCGATTCGGGTTAAAGTAGAACATGAGGTTGACGGAGGTTTGGGATCTGTACATACCTGACGAGCTGCAAGAACAGAAAAATCGTTTGTATACTGTCGAAGGCTATTCAGCGACTTTGTGAGTAAATTCTTCCTGATTCACGTACCTGATGCTGCGTTAGCAACGATCACTTGCAGCAAGCAAAATTGATTAGATGGACAACCATGCAAGAGACTCACTGTTTTTACATATACACCTATTTTACCAGGTGCATTATCTGGACTACCACTCATTTAAACGGAAAGGGTTGGCTCCAAAACTATAAGCTTACTGAAAAACAAAACAACCAAGTTTCCAGCAACTGGGAGTTTTGTCTGTGAACTCTACTTTATTTGGCTCCGTAACTACGAAGAAACGAATCGGGGTCTAATTATCTAAATAGGGTCAAGACCAGAAAAGTGGTAACCATGGTTTGACGAAATTAGTGTACGTCTTTCATCGGACATATGCTACAATTTGAGAGCAGGTATCCTGTTTGCTTGTTCACACAGCTGTTTGCCTCTGGTTAGAAGTGAAATGGTTTTACGCCCCGGTACAGTAGATAGCTACTGCCAGACTGCGTAGGCACGGGGTGTAAGCCATTATCACGTGCAGCACCATATTCTAAGTCAAGTGAAAAATCAGGGCTCCTCTGGGAAAAATAAAAATGTGCTTGCGACACTAAAAACTAAAAGGATATACCTAGCACCGACTCGAATAATTCAAATAGAGTCTTGAGAATTTTTGTTCACCTCTCCATTTTTATGGATTATTTACAACCCAATTATTTAATAGTCGTCGCTGTTTTAAAGCATTAACGTTCAACCATACCGAGCTGGTCCAAGAGAAAATTTTTCATGGCATTGCATTGTTATGGTTGTGTTTTGGGACAACTAAGACTACTTCAAAGTTAAATATAGTATGAATTATGCCCAGCGGTTTTTTCTTATAAGAAATTCAAAATTATTTTAGTGGGTGACCCACTGAGCATAGAGCAACGATATCAACGTCACATCCAGGCACACAAAAGAAGGAGAAGATTAAATAATTTACCCCGATAAACTACCTGACTGTCATGCTCCATCAACATTTTGAAGGAAGAGCAGGTTTTCTGAGCAAATAGTCAAACTGGTTTTAACACCTGTTTAGAACTTCTAAGTGTATGAAAATTCCATATTATTTACGTCTAAAATAGGCTTTATATGTAATAGTGAAGCTTTGATTTTGCCAGCAGCGACAGTGAAAATGCGTTTGCTCTCTTTTTATGAACCAGTCGCATGTCTACAGGCTAGATTTGTTCCGAATACGATTGACAATCTGTCATCCGTGGGGATAATCTTGTCAGCTGAGTTGCATTGGGTTGTATTGTATAAGTAAGAGTAAATAACATCAGCATAGACGTAATGCATCAGTTATATGATTGCTGAAAACTCTTTTACAGCCCGCGAACGGTTTCACTCTTCTAAGGATTCATAAACCAGGGATTCAGCTGTGTTCCAGACGAGTCTCCTGCGAAACCGAATTGGCTTGCAAATGAGTGCATTTCGCTAATTTCTTGCTATTGGTTTTCAAGTGGAACGTAAGGGTGATGGAAACTCAGGGACGGCGCTTACCTGATAAGCCCCAGGAAGAGTAAAGCCGTTTGTAAGCTGTCGAAGAGTTTTCAGCAACCTTGTGGGTAGTTTCTTTTATGAAAATAATGAGTGCATTCGCTAATTGCTTGCTATTGGTTTTCAAGTGGAACGTAAGGGTGATGGAAACTCAGGGACGGCGCTTACCTGATAAGCCCCAGGAAGAGTAAAGCCGTTTGTAAGCTGTCGAAGAGTTTTCAGCAACCTTGTGGGTAGTTTCTTTTATGAAAATATACTGCGATAATTCGAATAACTTACGAACTGAAACATGAAACGGCCTGGTGCTGCACTTTCAGTTGCTTAAAAGCATCATGAACTAGAAATTTAGCTGGGTTCAAAGTGAGTCTCCCGCAAAATCAAATCGGTTTGCAAATGAGTATATTTCGCTAAATAATGCCACATTTGAAGTCAGCTGACAAAGTACCATTAACGAGCATGAGAAGTTACTAGGCCGACCAGGCAGCCTTTCGTCGATAAGCTCTCTGAACGTAACTGATGGGAAACTTCAGCATGACAAGACCACCTGTGCAAATATTCACCGAATCCCTTGCCCCTTTTTCTTCTAAAACCCCATTACTTTTTTTTCTCGATGGGCCCAGTCATTCACAACAGATCAAGCCGACTACTTTGTTGCTCTGGCTACACAGTTCAGGTTGCTCGCGAAAACTCCCTCACTTAAATTCACTATTTCTTCGGGATTAGAATCACAAGAGAGAACGAGCTATGATCTTGAACATATGTTGACGTAGTAGAGCACTTGCCAGGTAACTTTAAGTAAAATCCATCGATAATCTTCTGCAAAGCAATGCTACCTTCGTCTAAATTTGGGGGGCAATACTCCCTAATGGAGATTAGTGAACCCCTTTCTTGACATGCTCCCTTAAACACAAAGAGACTACCATGTCCATAAAACACACTCAAAACTAACTTGAAAGTTTTATTGCACGTTGAACAACACTTCGCCAATTGTGTTAACTGTTGAAAATTTCCTAATTGGCTTAATTTTTAGATTCGCCGACAAAGTCCCGCGGACTATGCAGGATTACGTGAAGGTGACCACGTGTTGGCTATCAACGGAATGGATGCGCTGGATATGTCGCATGCACGAGCGGTACAAATCATTGACTACGCATCATACAACCTAGAAATTATTGTCGGGAGGTGAGCTGCCGCTAAATTTTAAAGTTTAATAGGTTACTACTTTGTGTTCATTCAGGTACAAGTTTGAGGATGTTTTTTTTGCAAACACACCTTGCCTTTGGTGTTCAAAAGCGCGTCGTTCTCAACAATCTTCAGGGGGTTTATGTATCTACCCCTGGATGCACCAGGGCTCAGTGTTGGCATTAGAATCCATCTTGATCATTAAAACTCAGCTACTGATACAGCCGGGGATATTCATTTGTTTGGTTCATCCAGCTGAAGTTTGTTACGTCTTACAGTGGTTAACAAAGCTAAAATGTTACAGATCACGCATCGTTGGTGGACGGTTAGTGGTTGCAAAGTCTCAAAAAAAATCTGACAGATTAATTGCAAGTTTCAAAGTGAGTCCAGATAAAAAATTGTAACTCACAAATTCTAAATGCCATGCGGAGCTCCTCGTTAGTGTATATCTTTTTGTTTTCTTTAAGGGATATCGATAAAGAGAAAACTGTCCCTAGATTCCATTGAATTTTGTAACTTTGTTCCCCAAAATTGCTTAGACCTGAGGATCCATATAAGAATTACAACAGCCTGTCTGGTCAGCCAAAACGGAACGTTCAACTCATCCAAACCCTTGTAAGTGTATGGACGATTAACGGTTCTCTACTTCATGGACTTTCAGTTACACATTAAATCTGCAGGTTAACTCGGAAGTATTTTTGCACCAGCATGCGGTGCATAAATTAATTAGACTAAAGTAGCGATTCGTGATAATCTGTATTTGATTACGTTACTGCAGTGAACAAAATGAAATTTACTCAAACAATTTACCATGATACAGTGACACCGTAGTTCTTCAGGCGCATACAAAGTTCAAAGCAGTTTGAAGCCGCTCAGAGATCCGGAAATCAGAGTTTGCCGACTGAAGATAAATTATGTTCAGACCTAGGGCTAATTTGCTGCACTGCATATTATCGTTTTTTTAAAAATAGTCACAAACAGACAAAGTAAATGCAAGCGATGGATATGAAAGGGTTACAGGAGGATATTAGATAAAAGGAGGCGTCCCATTCGAAGTCGTGCCAACAACGATTTTGGTCAGGCACGATGGATTCCAATGTATGTAAAAATGTTTGGTATGATCAGCATCCGAAGAAAGGACGAACAATGCTGAATACTATTCAAGGCGTGGTAAGCGTTAGCACAGTCAAGACTTGCAAATCAGACACAGTGTCCGTCATACTGGGTTTGGTGTGAGATTAAACGGCATGAAGTTACACTCAACGCCATCTGCCACGCATAAAAGTGTTGTAAGCGTGCGCAGTGCCAACATTGGCGAGCAAACAGAAGTCACCGGCCGTGACTGTCTCAGTCCAATAACAGTTGTGGAGGACTGAGGAGAGCATATCCCTCGATAAGAGTTGATCATCGGTTGGTGGACTAAAAACTCAATATCACAGTCGGTTACACGTTGGGCTAAGGTTACCGCGAGGGAATATTCATCAGCACCAAATTTCTGCATCTTCTCATTTAACAGTCATTCAGCGCCATCCGAGATTATTCTTACGTCTATCACAGTTGCTTGGTGCTCCCAATATCGATTAGTTTGGGCTTAATGAAAGACGTCGACGTAGGTTGTCTCATCTCCTCAAAGATGGTATATCCCAGGCGACGGAAGCGTTTCACAAGCTACCCTTGCAACCCGATCATGATGGGCACATCTAACATCATGCGTAATTCAAAATGACTGCTAAATATGCACCAAACACTCTGGTTGACCATAATTCCCATAAGTGAAGATTATCTGGCTACCATGACCACGCTGACCGCGCTTTCAACTGTCGTCTTAAGCAGGTTGCATCAGAGCTGGATACTGCGGATAAATATCCAAGAAAACATCTGTTTTGGAAGTGTAAGCTATTGGTCCGTGAACTACGACCATTAACGCTGTTGTACAGTAACCTCCATCCTTGGTGTCCACGCATGCAACACGGACTCGGATCGGAACGCTGAGATCCTGAACAATCTTGCTAAATGCGGTATAATTGACCACATTGCACAGAGCATGCCCATGGATAAGCGGAAGCTCTTCTATACACGATGTCTGCCACATCGGATTTGTTTCACCTGGACTTGGGATACCATGTCACCCATGTTGTTTACCGACGTGGACGTAGCATATGGAGGTGTCCTTCGGTAGAGCTAGCACGAATGTAATTGCCCAATGTAATTGTTCAATCTTTTCAGCCTGTTTTGTTGAGCTCCACCGAACACAAGCGAATAAGTCAGCCTCTGTATCGGGTATTTCCTCGTGATCTCCATTCAATGATGCGTCTTCAATGGGACAGGCGTCAACTCATCGAACAGTGAAGAGGAGTGATGATTGATGAGCGAAGCAAATTGGTTTTAATGCGACCGCCCCACAAATCATCATCGCTTTTGTCCTTCAAACGCCGATCTTCATACCAGCTCTTCCCAACCTGAGCACATCAGATTAAGGCTGTTTTGATTAAATCTTACCAGCGCAAAACTTAATTGAGCTTTTCGGTTTTTATGTGTACTCGCAAAAGTCAAACCAGTAGCAATACCTCGGTGTCAACTGTCGCTAAGTAATTCATCCTAATAGTACTCCCTATCACCATCTAAACAGATACATCAGAAACAGTGCAATATTAAGTATAACCTTTTTAAATAGTCAAATACTGCGCAACACTTTTGGAGTGCATAGCCCGCGATAAGTGAATTTTTCGTGAGGCTAGCTGCCATTGTTCGAGGAAACAGGCAGAAGTGAAAGGTGGTCCAGTTGAAGAGAATTTCACCAACAAAATTGAGGTACATTTCTCAAAGTAAATACCGTGATACACTAGGTGTTGTTTCAGTGACCAAGAGCACAATGTTTCTCCCACTGCTGATTGATAAAGCTTTCGTAAGATCTGTGCAAGCAGACGCTGCGGTTCCACGGGTTGAGACAGGTTTTCTTAAGAAAATCTTTTCTCATTGTTTCCCGTTCGTTTTCAATTCCTCTATATATCCTAATGGGTCATACAACTCGACCGAAATGAACTTTTGAGAGTTCATGAAAAAAGTCCGCACACTTGAGGGGTCATTGTCCTCTAAATCTGCTTGACCTCATCAGTAAAGATTTAGTGCCCAGCTGAAGAGTGTTCCTCGCTAGAAGCCCAGCATACTCTCATGAGCAGTGACCCCAAGTAGACTCATTTTAACCATTTGGTCTCCCCACCCAACATTTTACGAAAACTGTATGCCATGAGTGACTGACACCTGCTTTAAAAACTAGTGGAATTAGATCATAGTATGTTGACCTGTTTTTCGCGGAGTACATATGGAAATTCAGCCGTTGTGAAGGTGAGACACTCCGAATGAGTTGAACAGATCATGTTGAAAATGGTTTGGCTGACAGAATCATTAATGGCAAATGGTCGTGCATTCGTAAACTTGCTTGCCTGAGTAGGCATGTGGGATAACTAGGAGCAGTAGACTTTCTACTTTGCTCAGAGTACTGATGTCGGGCGGATGTGATCACTGTCATTTTACTTACGCGTGATCCCAGATGACCGATCTATTATTCCAGTTAATGTAACGGCTGACGCCAATAAATGTGAACAAATTCACACGGTGTATGTGGACGTACACGTGGCAACAGGAAGCCATTCATCGCACAAATATGAACCTAGTTGGATATGCCTGCACACGTCTGTATAGGAAGTATCAGCTGCCATGTCCCTAAATCGTGACGCCTGATAGAGATATCATTTTCCATATGGAAAATGGAAGCACTTAATTCAACACCCGTTCCCTCATCCCACATCCACCTTGTGGTGGCCACCCATTTGAAACGGAAATTATTTCCCATTGTTCTAGTCAGTAATGAATACTCTTTTAACCGATAAATTCAGTTCAACATTCATTTCTTTTTGTGCACAGAGTTCTAAACGTAAACCGAGCGTTGTTTGAGCTCTTTCGTTTGTGTGTTGCGATTAGATTGCCCATTATTTGACGAGTGTGTCAGAAATAGCTTTTACTCGAATGAAGGAATTTGCCGCTAGACTAATATTGCATCCAGGATCCGTATGAGGTAGCACTCTACATTTGTTGGTATTAAAATTCTCCATTTAGAGATTATGCCCTGTAACCCTAGCGAGTGTGTTTCGGTAATTCACAACATCTAGCTTGACTACCTTCCTTGATCACTTCAAATGAGGAATAGAAAGTGAAAGCAAATGTACTGTGAAAGGTGGGAATAACCGATTTTCGGTACATGAAGTAGTGCAGTACAGAGCATATTCTCTACATATAATTTGGTCTTTTTAGCCGAAACGACAAGAATGTCAACGCAGCCTGTGGAGGATAGTGTGCCTATTCTGTGCCTTTACGGGTAACAAGCAGATATATGAAGTGAACAGAAACGCACCCCTCTGTTCACATCGGAGAACACTTGCCTAAGTCACTAGTCAGATCGGCCAATAAAGTTCGCAAAAGCGTCATCGCAAAACACACTAATGATGTACCACACTGCGCTGGCTTACGGAGTAATTTCCAATGGTCAAACCAAAGAACCACTCTCGCACAAGGCAGAGACAGTGAACTTTCGACGCCTCAGAGGGAACCTTTCTGTCCAGAAGGATACGATACTGTGCGGAGCCTCACTATACGCCCTATGTCAGGATGCTTGTATGTCTGGACTATTACTTATTTCAAATTAATCGAAAGGACTCGTTGCTTTTCATCCATCATTTTGTTCTTCTGAATATGCTTCACGTTTCCGTAGTTGTTCGCTATTCAGAAGCCAATGCAAAATGGCCGAATGCTTGTCTTCTCTGAGTATTGTTTAGAGCTCCTTGGACACTTTTAAGACTAATTTGGACAGTAAATGAGTGCTCAGTTTGAGTTAATACTTAGTTTCATATCTGAGTGCTTAGTTTAGTACTTACGAACCTTCTGGCAGACTGCAGCATATGCTCAGGTACGGCAAGTGAATCAAAATTCAAACATTCTTCTACATTCGAAAACTTTGCTAACTTATACTACGTAATTTATCTAGATACGAAAGACTTCAGAAAATGGAACGCATTTATTTGGATAATCAGGCCTTACGATCAAAGCAAAGGCCACAGGAAATTACAACAACAGAGCTGCAGCTGTTCTGGGAAAAGGAAATGCCACTGAAACCAGTGAGAAAAGCCTGGCCTCCACCCCAAGAAACCGTGATTATCCACCCACCCCAGCAAACTGTTCGGATAGCCCAGCCACCACCTCCACCACCACCACCGCAACCCGTGACGATTCACATACCAGCCCCACCTCCAAGACCACCGACACCAGAGAATGAAAGACTCATTATTCCGAACGATCCCGATGTGTCTCGGCTATCGGTTAAACAGCTTATGCGGGAATTCAATGCACCACCGATACCGCCCGAAGCTCGAAGTGAGTATCGTATAGACACGGGTTCCGATAACCACTGCACCTCACTTCGTTAGAAAATTCTTATACAACATGTTACACTTATGTTTTAAGATGCTACTGAGATTCAAGTGAGATTCTAGTAAGGTTTTAGTGAGATTCACCCATGCTTTATGTGCAAAGAGCAGTATTAGCTGAGTAAACACCAGTCAGCTTTCTAGTAGGTAGTTAGAAACACCATGGATTACCGTAAAATGTGTGCACAATGTTTTCTAACATAATGGATAGTTCGGACAACGTTCATCTATGTTGTTCGGTTAAGTCATGAGTTTAGTCACTGTCGTTTCCATAATTTGTGTTAAATCACGGTTCAGCCAAAGTACCCAAACACTGGGGAGAATTGGTTTCTTGGTTAAGTTTTCCAACGGCCATAAAACTAAGGTGAATTCCTAAGAAATATTAACGAACCTTCAGACACAAACTATTCTTCAAGTGCACATTGTCTAGACACTTTTTTTCTGCCAATGTCTTTGTTTCCCATAATCCGGTTTTAACGTATCAGTGTTTAAGAAAGATATTAACATTGGCACAGGTTTCCCTACTGAGAAGTACTGTCACCCATAAAGACTGGTTGATTGACATGTATATGGTGAATAACACGTGTTAGTTTGACTGTCCGCCTGATGCAATTAGACAGCGATGAATCAGATCCCTAAGCAATAACCAAGGGATGAATAATGGCGCCCAAATAAACAGGAAGAAACATGGAAGTGGGAGGACGATGCCTAAAAAAACATCGGTACCATGAAGGGCCTTAAATCCATAGATTTGCTTTTTCCGTGGCGTTATGGGTCGTTAGTGAGTCCAATCACGTTACAGAATAACACTTACAAGTGTCCAGCTGCGTTTGTCATGGATAAAATAGAATAAACTTTCCTCTGGTTCAGAATATGCTCCGACATGCACTTGTTCACTCGGCCTTAGATACAAAACATCACAGATTAAACTGTATCGGGTAAATAATATGAAATTCTGCATTTTATTTAGTATTGCTGCGCGGCTAGAACAACAGCAGCTTCACCCTCAACTAATGAGCATACGGTCGGTTTTGACTTAATATAAAATAGTAAACGGTATACATATCTCCCGTATCGAGTGTTCGCGCCCCAGAAAGACCGGAGTTTGAATAGCTTTTATTCATTTTGACTGCTTTTCATCCGACAGTGATGATTCCGCGGTCTCTTTTTCCTGTTTTCTTTTGAATCAGGAACTAACTTCAATGCTATAATGTATTCACTGTTCGGTTGACAGAAGGCAATACGTGATCTCTTTGAGACCTATTTCCATTTTGTATATCAGATAAGATGGGTTACGCTGCAAAAGTATGATTTTCAAAGAAGGGGGATTGATACAACTAGGCAGATTTTGTGACAACCGCTGGAGAAAGGAGTAAAATGTTTTGAGTATATTCAAAATAAGGAGCGGGGTTTTGATAAGTGGAGAAGAGAATGAAAGCGGTCCATGTGAGCTTCGAACGGTACGATTTGTTGAATGAGTACTTAAAGCTGCCATACTGCAAATAGAGTTCATCGGTTTGAGGATATCTCGGAGCGTTTTCGTGTTCGGACTTTGTTTTAAGGACTATGCAGGATCTTAACTATACTCCAGTTAATAGTGTTGGTTCACGTAAATCATACTGCTTGATGCGTCATTCGTCTATCGGATTCAAGCATTAAGAACCGCAAGATATTCCATAAAATCTATTGTTGAGGACAAAGCTTCCGATTTCTATCTAAACGGGTGTGGAAACATCACCGTAAGTGCTTTTAATCTCACGCAACCGTCTCTCTGCTGTTTTCGCGTTAGTCATCTGCCGTTGCACCACCGACGTGATGCTTGCGGTCGGCACAGGCAGATAAAAAGCAATCATTTTGATTGTCTGGCCATTCTACGGTTTAAAAATTTTCGCTATGATGAACTAAAACCGGGGAGTAAAATGTGATTCCATTTCATCAACGACAATAAATCTCAACAATCCGCAATAAGCAGGTTGTGAACACTTGGCAAGCACTCGAAATGACTGCCTGACCATTACACAATCAATTCTTGGTGCTGACTTATGTTAGTCAGCAGACAAAGTTGTTTCTCCCAGGAGCTATTTGATACAAACCAACCAGAGAAAAAGCAACATCTCACAAGAAGAATCTCACCATACGATTGTCGTCTCTTACTCGTTAAAGTCCCTGGAAGTTGCGTGCAGCCCTCGATAATCGTGTATGTTTAGGATGTAGCATAACTGGATTCCAGTTAACCATAGCCAAACGGACTATCTTACTTCACCCTAGTTGAGATGGTAGACAGTCACCTGTGATATACGCAAGATAGCCTCACGGCTCTATCATAATCACACCAGTTGCACTCAGCAGGGTTTATCATACCGCAGCATGAACCACACAAACCTCCAATGGATTTCAACTCTTTGAATACTCGTACTGGATGATGGGACAACCATGACGAATCCATCTGCACACAATAATGGAGAGTTACTCTAAATTTCTAAGGTCGCATTGCATCCGTCTGGAACATTTTTTTCAAAACTTTGGCAATAAATTTATCTGAAAGGCCCGGAAAAGACAGTATTTTACGCGTAGTCTACCTGCGTTCATTATCGACTGCCCGGGTTTCCCTGTGTTAGACTGACAGTACTGCTATGAAGCCCGCTTTTCCTTGAATACTGTTTTTGTGTGATAACTTCATTGCCGATGAAACTTATATTTTCAGCTTGGAGTAGGTGAAATAAATCCACATCCGCTGTTTCGATGGGTATTCAGCTACCGTTGTCGATAACGAGGACGTCTGCATCTTCTGCCGTTCGGTTGTTTTCCTAAGGTCACAACGCTCAACAGTAACGAGGTTTCAAAAAAAATTGTGACCATGGAACGGCTGCGTTTCAGTGTCATTTGGTGCGTCCTTTGCTGAAAAGTGTCTCTGACGAAATGCATGCTTCATTGAGTTTCCGAATGGGAACTGTATTATGCAAATAGGATTCGCAACGTTTCCATGATATGTCAGGCGAACTGCCGTATGAGTGATTGCTTCACACTTGGATGCTTCACTGCATTAGCAGCCTAATGAGGTTGGTGGAATGAAGAAGCGTCTACTGAATCATGCCGTTATTTATTCTGGTCGTCTGACAACAAGATAAATGGTGAATGATTCAAGTGAATCGCAGTCTACTCGGTGCCACTAAATCATTAAACTGTCACGACCATCTGATAAGCAATAATCTGGATGTATTGAGTGGCCTATACTAAGATAAGTGAAGGTAAGAAGAACTACGTACTGATTATTCATCACCTAAACCGTGAATCAGTAGTACTGCAACCGAAGTTATGGTAAAAACGTGTACGGTATGGTGTGGTCTGGTATTCAAGCAGACTCACTTCGGGTTCATTTTGATAACTCTTATCCAGAATAAATCAGAACTTTTTTGTGGCATCGGACAGCAGGAGCAGTGGCCTAAATAACGCAGCCTTACTGCTCAAGATATAGAAATGCTTCGTTCGTGATGCAGTGCAGCCTGTGGATAGGATAAAAAAAGTTAATGTTCAAGAACGCTTTTTCCCAATCGACATTCAATGCTCTGTTCAAATCGCGTGGAACAAGCCTAGTGTTTGTTGCGTAAAATTAGGCTGTTTGACAAGGGCGCAAAAATTAAAAATTCCGGTTAAACCCTGAATTACTGCAGTCGTGGCTCCAAACGACTTGTGCCTATGATGTTTCCTGCGCACTAAAAGTTCGATCTACATGCGTTTGAAAAGACTGAGCTAAGGTTATCATCCGCAGTGAGTCTGAATGGGAACCCACTTCAATGCATAAACGTAGTCCGAATCACAGACTCATTTTTTCTCCTTCCTAGAAAAGAGCTTTCAGCGTGAAACACCCTTTTATTCTTCCATACTGATGGATTTTAATGACGGCAATGCCGAAGTAAAGGTCAAGAAACACAGTCTCCTCATTAGAATGGTAAAAGCTGATCAGTTTATTCCCGTGTTGATGATTGGTATTTTAGTGCAACCAAGCAAGTCGTTCTTACCTATACCAAAGAATAAATGTGTGCATTCTATTTTTCACTGGTGCCCGCTGGTGAGCCATTTTACAAAACTCCAGTGCAGCAGAATTGGGAGTATCATCCACCCGTTCTAGCGAACCCAGATAATAGATTATGGACCGACGAAACTGTCGGTTTTAGCCACAACTGTGTGTGATTTTTTACAACTCAGAATCCTTGGCTAGATAAGATTTCAGATAGTCTATCGTGAAGCAGTGTCGGTTAAAGTGCAACTTGAAGATGTAGACCAACAAATACGATGGCTGTCTGACTGATTTTGCAGTGACGGCTATAGCCAGACCGTCGGGGCTAAGAAAGACCCAAAAGAGAAGAAAATCTACCTATTCCTTATCTAAAGTTTTGAGCATCGATTAGCTAAGAAAATTAAGTTACAACTTTGTTTTTCAGTTGATAGTTTTCCGTTTCGTTTTCAATCTCGAAACAGTTTGATAACAAAAAATATTCTCTGCATTGTGTTTAGTACAGTTTGTGCTATATAACACGTTCTTTCTGATCAAGCAAAGTGCAAGCAGCAATATATTCCGAATTTCGTACTCCCGAATAACACACTGCTTGTAAAAGTGAAGGTTCGTCATAACCAATATAGCCAAGCCGGACGGCATGGAAGTAGCCTCCTGGGCAACGTATTATATGCGTTAGGTTTAACCGTTTGATTTATTTGTTTCCTCCGCGGTTTTCACTGTTACAAAACCGCCCATTATTGTTTATCTATGGCTGACAGCCCTTTGCCTGTCGAATACACGATCTTAGGGCTCACGAACTGTGGTAACCTACACGTTCACACGTCTTCCCTCTGGTTCTGTGCCCTAGTTTATTGACTCGAGGGTTGAAGCACAGGACTGGATTTCGGAAATCGAACGGTACGTGAATGTGGCCACTATTGCACTACGTGACAGAAAAAATCGTGGCCGTTTCCGATCAATGTAGTTTCCCATTTCGGTGCTGGCATAAGGTGCTCGACTCTCTACGACACTGTGGACATTTTGCACGTGTCACTTTTGTTAAAACATGTAGGCTACTCCTCTATCTTGTTTTTCTCCTCACTATAAGACCTTAGTTGAGTAAATTTCCATGATGTTATGGATGTATACCTTTGATACTTATAACCAAAAGTCAGTTTCAGGTTGAAAAGTGTAAGTGACAGGCTTTCTTTGGTTCCGTTCTCCATCTCATGTTCATGCTGCTCGTTGTACTCATCGCTGCACCTGTCTTCGTTATTTTAAACTCACTGGTCGCAGCTTTGGATTTCAGATCCCAAGACAGGATACCGATGAAACATTTGGAGCACGGGCTATGAGTTCCCTTATAATTCTATGCTATATGAATCCTTGTCGAAGTTCCAAGGCTAAACTGACTGAAGGAAATTCATAGCTGACGATTAATTCTAAGGTGTTTAGTATCAAACTGATAATGGCCATAGCAGTAGGTATTGAGAATTAACTAGGGAGAGCGGTTTTCTCAGAACGAAAGAAGAACAGGATGTAGGGCGAAGTTATGTTCTGGCGAAAAATCACTTCACAATGTTGACGCTGAATACCACCTGTGGAAGGACGAAGGCCTTCGCTGCGGAGTTATTTATTAGAAAATGCCAACTGACCGGTTACAGACCATTGGACAGGGATGCAAAACTCTCATTTGCATCTTATTTGCAAAAACTGGATATCCATCTTCTCCTGAACGCATCTCCTTGAACTTTCCTAAATATCTATTGACTCCAATCATTCCTCGCTCAAATCCAAGCAAATGTTACAAAGCGACTCCACAAATTCCGCAACAGATCTCTCCTTTTCAAGAGACGCAAAGCGAAATTCCACGAACAACACATCCTACTCGCGTGCCTCTTCATTAGTAGTATCACTGTTACACCCGTATAGCTAGTTGTGAAATTAGCAACAAGGGTCAGTCCGAGACTTGAAACTATCCGTTTTACATAACAATAAACAACAAGTGTATTAGCATCGCTTGTCTAGAAAAATCTTTTGGCTCCATACATGAATAAAAACCAGATACTGCCTGAACTCTCTAGTTTCAGCTACCACTGTAAATTGAAAATGCATTTCGAGGGACGGTGGTCAATGTCAAAACAACGGGTTATATGGACTAGGGAAGAAATGACTGCAAAATCCAGGGAAAGCTGGTGGAATTCGCCTCTTCCTCATTTCCCCAGAAAATTAACTCCAGGTTTTCTACATCTCTGGTTTCAAATACCGGAAACGATATGACTAAGAATAGAGGGCATGATGGCATCTCTACTGAAAATCAGTGACACAGCCCAACTGTTGATTTGATTCAACGATCTTCACGCGCCTCTGAATAAACAACATTGAAAACTGCACTTGTGGAAGTAATTTGGAAGGTACATCCGCTAACATGTGACTAACATACTAAAATAGTTGTAACTTAGACCAGTCGGTCATCATGATCCTGAAGAAATGGATGGGTATTGGTTGGTTGACAATAACGTGTTGTCTGGTAATACTATCGACCGCCAATCTTGGCATCACACAAGCACGAATATGTTCATCCATGAAGGCATAGCAATTTGGGTATGGTGGCAGTGGCACCCTCACCTCTTGTTCGGGAAGACCGGTCATAAACGAATATTACCAACATTTAAATGTATTGCCAAAAGGCTGTCTAGGATACGCTGACAGACCCCCATGGGAACAAAACATAGGTCCAGTACCTACATCATTTGTTATGTACCATCTAGAATAATTGCAAATCGACAGGGGGGTGTCAAGAAGATAACGGTGTGAAAAAAACCGTACTGGACTCTCTTCAGTAACATGCCGACCAAACGGGTCTGTGGGTGGTTGATTTTTTGGTAAGCTGTCAAATATGGTGGACCCAAAAATTCAGTAAAACCATAGCGCTGTCAAGTCCAGTGCGTAGTTGTTTACTTCCCTTCTCCTGCCTATCAAGCAGTGACAAAATTTTTGCATATACTCATTTGAAAGCTGCATAAAGTGGTGTGTGTCAAACGTCGCCTAAATTTCAGAGAATAAAATTGCTCCAATGTAAACATTATTATTTTGGTTGTAACTCAGATCTGAAAATCTTTTATCGCCAGGCGTTGTATTAGAAGGATTTCGAACAAACAAAAACTTAAACCCGGATAGCATTCTAAAACCGACATAATGAGTAAATCAACCAAACTAACTATTGGACTTTGCGGATTTTGCCCAATATATTTATCCATTTTTTTAAATTTGGAAATCAAAACATCTTTCTCAGCTGCTCACACCAAATTTCGCTGAATAATCTGGGTTTCTTACGACATCAAAAATTTTCTCCCGTCTCATCAGTCCCTTTGATTAATATAAAATCAGTCATTGGCTAACATTTTTGTATTTGTTACTCCTAAGTAAATTCACTGATTATGTCACGAAAGTTGCCCATGCAAACAATAAAGAAAAAATTAAATTGACCTTTGCGACGAGTTCTAGAATCTAAAACTCGGAACATGCTTCACAATTCTTCGTCTTCTTTTCGCAGAAAAAAACTATGCCGATTCCTCCTTCTATTCCGATCCAAACAAATATTACCCAACTGTCGAGGAACAGATTGAAATGGCGCGCAGGGTGGCCGACAGCTTGCAGGACCCGGAAAACTATACCAAGGGGGTCAATATGTTTGAGAAACAGCGCATTAGGGCGGACAAGCACGTTCGTGAGGGACCAGATCCAGAGCCCGACCCGATTGAAGAGGTGAGTTCTAAAGGTTACGACAATTTTCTGGCTGCCGAGTTGAGAAACTTCCACATTTCTTCCGACATTTAACTTAAGATACTCCAGCAGGGGCAAACGGCGCTTGACAATGAGTTATATCAACTGTAAAGAGTTGCCAATGCTTCTGATATCAACATCTGTGGAAATCCAAATCCTTCGCTGCTCGTCAAAAATGTCCCATGAACATAACGTCATGCTGAGTCTGTGTGGATCTGGTGCTTAAATTGGGATTTTATACACTCTTTCAAACTACTTGAAGATGCAATCTGATATATAACGAGCAATCAAGTGGGTAGAATTTGACATTTAA